CATTTAATTGCTTTTTGGCAGTGCAAGAATTTACGATCATCTGTTTTCAAGGATGAAGCACAGGAAAAGTAATATTTCATTAAAAACTTCTGATGAGTATCTTAAATTGCAACCACTGCCTTCAAACCAGCCTGAGGCATTAGTTTCAGAAAACCAAAGTCAAGTATTTCACTAGCTTTTTGTTTCTGCTATTCCCTTTTTAATATTTTAATAAAAAATGTAAAAAACAAAAACAAAACCAAAACTTTTGTAAGCTACATACACTAACTTTATTATGTATTTTATATATAGCCCAAGACAATTACTCTTTACTCAGTGTGATCCAGGCAAGACAAAAGTTTGGACATCCATAGATTTATAATAAATAAAAAAATCCATGGTGATTTATTTATAACTGAAACTATTTTGCAAGAGTATCAAAGTCACTACAAAGTAATCAGATATTACAGGATCAAAATAAAGAGAATTACAGAAGGTGCCAAATTGTTTCTTGACAAAGCAATGAAAATTTGCAGAGCAAAACACATCAGCAATTTTTACTTAAGCTTATTAGGAATAAAAGAATCATCGTGTTATAGAGTGTTGCCTGGGAGCCTTTCTACAGAGCTCTTTCTCTGGCAAGCCATTGCACTGACCTGACTAGAAGATGAAAAGATGACCAGAGCCCTTCAAATGGATTGGCAAACTGTCCACAGAAGGACGCCCATCAGAGAACAACTGGAAAGATACAACAGGCAGGATTTGACGATTTTGAATGCATTAGAAATTCAGATATACATTATTTAGTTTCTGGAACCTGCAAATTGGAGGAGCAGCGCTGTGTTTAGCTGAGCAAGCAACATTACTGCGTGGCTGAGAGTTCTGTGCGTGAATTGATGATCTTAAACCAGCAATATGCATACTGACCAACGGCAAAATACAAGGAAAATACTCACTGAGAACGTCCAAGAGCAGGCCTAGTCACAATCATTTGTCCAAATAAATCCTGCTCACACGTACATCTACATACAATCCTCTTTTTGTCACAGATGTCATTATATCACACTCATTCTTTTCAGACTTTTGTTTTCTAGGAACAAAATGATAAAAAGTGTCCATTCTCATAGAGACTGGAGGATAGCTTCGTACATAAAGGCTATCTAGAGGCAATAGTTTAGCATCATATTTTCTTTAAAACTGTTTTTTCTGGGAAAGATAAAAGACATATATTGCTTGCGAAGAATTAGAGAAAATAAGATGCATGTGACTGATTAATTAGGATTTTAGTGTTTTCTTGTTAAATTTTAACGTTTGAGATGCTATTTTAGTATAATGGCAAAATAATTATTAAGTCAAACTTTCTTATTACAGTATTTTGTATTTTTATTGAAAAATTGCAAAATTATTACAATGATTTCTTTTTTATTATTCCAGATTCCTTTCTTTCCTTCTGATATCAATGAGCCATGCATCTCTTGTGATAAATTTGGCGTGTTAGGTAAATTCTTTGCTGAAGTGACTTATTTATTAACTTTATAGATATTTGATTTTCTTAATATTTCTTACTAAATTAATTACTAATTTAAACAATGCATAGTATTTTCTATTGTGTTAGACAGTTTTCAATATGGTGTTCTAAAGTTTGTGGATCATTAAATGTATTGTATTATTTATGTGAGTGTATAATAAAATTCAAGTTATTCTGTGCTTGCGGTACTGGGCTGAATTAAAATGTTAAATAAAATAATCCATTCACTCAGCAGAGAGAGTCAGTACTCTTACACTTAAAATTCTACAGCATCTTGTTGCTTGGAGTGATTAAGGAACTGTTAATTTTATGTTGTCCCATTGCTTTTGAGATCTCTGTTTACCTTGGATTTAACAGCAAACTCAAGAATAAAGCAAATGAGAAGTGAGTAGGGCTCTGGGTTACTTGCATATACTTAAATTAAAAAACAACAACTATTAAAAAGCTTCTTATAAAAATATTTTTTTACTGTTTTATATTTCATAATAATTAAGATTAATTAGCGCATGAATACTTTGTAACAACAACACTGGAATATTTTTTATAGCCCTAAATGTAGACCATTACCTAGAAACAACAAAGGCTATTTTCATCATTGACTTTAGATGCTCTTCATACAGTGTTGTTCATACAGTGTGCATGGAAGGAAATATTCAACTATGCTCACTTATTTACTCAGCTTTGGAAAACTTGAATTTCCCATTCTTGAGTTTGCATTTATGTAATCTAACTGTAATTGCATTCACATTTGCTATCACATATTTATAAATATTTTCCCCATCATTCATGCATAAACAAAGTCTGTACTTTTCTTCAATTTGAATAATTTTTTAGCTTGTTTTAATTGTAAAACTTTTTATTTTTAATTACTACTGCATTCTTATGTTCTAAAAACTCTTCTGGAAATTTTTACAGCCATAAACTGCAAATAACATCTCCAATCCTTGTATAAATAGAAGCATGTAATGCAATTCTGGGGAAGATCACTCTCATTTTTATTTTTCATTTTGCTGGATAAAAAATGTTAGCAGAAAAATCCTCATGTCTCTTTTTTCCCTCCATAAATGTACTTCTGGAAGGTGACTTATGACAACTCCATGTCCTGAAGTCCTCAAACTAAGTGACAACTGTCCTGGGTAAGTTCTCAAGAAACAGTGTCTTCCTTTCTGTAGGTCTGATAAACCTGAGCTCAGCTACTAACAGTAGCTGCTATAAAGTTTCTCAGTGAACTCAAAGGGATGAAAGAGGTGATGAGAAGGAGGCTCTAAGTAAGGAGGGAACATACTTGTTTGGATATCCCACTAGTAAAGAAAGTGCTTATCCTATCGCCACACATGAGCATTTGGCATTCAGATCTAGAGGTTGACCCAACGAGGAGAGTATTCAATGGTGCCTTATGCTTCCCAGATTTTCTTGACATATTACAAATGGCAAGAATACAATTCTTAACAATGAAACATAAGCTGTGTTTAACTCCATTGCACTTACCTAGTTCTGTGAGGTTGAATAAGTATATTGTATCATGTTTCTGTAACGTTCCAAGGCTGAAAAAGGAAATCCCCTCACTCTCTTTTTCAAAGTGTGATTTTATAATTATCTGAATCCCAAAATATTTATGTATCTCTGAGCAGCAGTTCACTCTGTCTTCAGATCCAGTGACAGTTCTGATGTTCCACACATTGAAGTCTCCAGGACTAGCATCCTGAGCTGGCACTACCAGCTGTCATCAGCCTGTAAATCAAGCAGGTCTAAAATATATTGCAGGGATGGTGCCTTCACCAGAGCCTGTTGTTCTCTTTAGAGTGGGGGATCTAATAAAATACAGACTTCAAGAAAAAGTCTTCTGAGTAAAGGCAAAGAATCTCCAAGGAGAAGTAGAGGCCATAGATGATAATGGGGACAAACTGCACATATGAAACTAATAGAAAGTTTAGTTTCCCTAGAGAGGAAGTTTATTGTACATCAGTAATCCATAAATTGTTATAAACTCTTTTTAAGAGCTTTTGACTCTTTCTGGTTTTCTAATTTAAGTCCAGTAATTTAAGGATTACGGAGTGCAGACTCTCTCTTTTTCTTTTTTTCTTCCCATCTTTTTCATTTTCTTTTCCATTTCTCTTGATTTTTCCTCTCTCTCTCCAGTCCAGAATGTCTTATACAGTGGAATAATAAGATTGTACAGCGAAGTATGTGGCAATTCCTGAGACAGTAGGTGCTTGGCAAAGCATCTGCCCCTTTATCCATCCAAAATTTATCTTCGTTTAAATCATGCCTCAGCTGCAAGCATGATATCAGGTGAAACTAGTATAAGAATCAATTTATGACTGGCTTCTAATCTCAGTATTAAAGAATACTTTCATTGTAAAACAGAAGCCATCCAGAGTCAGATGGAGGCTGTCCAAGATCTTTAGACCTATGTGCTAGTACTCTTTGAAACTATTACAAGAAAGGCAGGATATAAATCTATGTTTGTTAAATGCACTGTGTATTCTGCACTTGCAAAGGCCTGAGGCAGTGTGTTGCTACAAACATGACAAGTAATTTCACTGAATCTTAGTCTTAAGAACTGCCTGAAGAACATTTGATTGTATTGGCCCCAGGTTTATTTGATGCATTCTTGCATCCATAACTTTATAAGTAGAATCCCTTTAGCTCAACGGGTAGCTTAGCTCTCCATGACTGGGAAGTATCTAGCCTCTTTTAGAAAGGGAAGTACTGACATTTGGGTTTTATTTCCTGTAACTGACAAAGACAGATTTTTCCTCAATTTGGAACAAGATATACAAGTATTTGAGCACAGCTGTCCTGTACTTGTGCTTGATAAGCCTGTATTACTGGCAACAGCAGACAGAGAAAATAGACCTGTTAAAATCTGAACAAAGCAGGGAGCCATTTGTAGTTACAAAGACGGTTACCATGAGATCTAAATTAATTGTTTTTAAAGGCTAGGTGTCTGCTTCAGCTGTACAAACAGACATACTTCACTGATGTAGATCCTTTTGTCTAGAATGGATATGAAGGTGCTAACAGTGCATCTATACCAATGTGGACCTGTTCTTGAGGGGATACTTGCGTGTGTGGCACTGTCAAGACAAGGTGTTACAAAAAATGCAATACAGGCATTGGAGACATGGAAGGAGCTACCTACCGTGTTCTATTCAAATCTAGAGTAGGGTTTTCATAAAGTTGTGCTATGTTTTGATAGAGAGCCTTTACATAAACTATGAAAACTTTCAGGAAAAATGATACCGTAGGTGTTTCTAAGTACTTCTACTGGCTCTAGAGACTGACTGGATTGAGTGTAGATCTGTGGTCTTGAAAAAAGAAAAGTTAGAATCTTCAACCCAAAGTTCCACTCTTCAATCTGCGTGAATCACAGCACCTCTCAGCCAGTCCTGCTGTATGGAAAGCAAAGTGGGCTGAGTTTGCCCTGACACTAAGCTTTTTTTAAAGCATCTGATTTATTATTAATATAGTTTTAATAGCATCTCTCCTACTGTTTTACAGACTGACTACAACTTAACTTAGTGCTCAGACATTAGAAGCTTGCCTTTTAAATTTTTAACAAGAATAAAAATGTTACAGAGCATGGACTTTGTTGTACTATCTAGATCTTACGTAGAAATAAGTTAGTACCTTTTCACACTTCCGTTTAAATATTTTACTAGATGTCATAGATGTGTCTGCTTTGTATTTTTGGTGACAACTCTTCCCTAAGTGCTCTGAATGCCAGGCCAGTGATCTTCTAGAGGTTTCCAAGAAACAGTGATCAACTTTTTATGCAGTTGAAAGATACTGGCCAAATAAAAAATGGAAATGAATAAATCTGCAGTTAAACACACACACACACAAAATAAAAACTACAGAGGAAAACTGAAAGAAAAGGGAGGAGAAGAAAGTAACTTACAGGGCTTGAAATTCTGTCTTCCATTCCTCCCTGCAGAAAACAGTAATGAATCATTGGGGGAAAAAAAAAAATGAATGAAAGCAAATAACTGTTAAAAATAACAGATATTCACCTGTTTAAGATCTCCAGGCTTTCTTGATGGAACTCATCACTGGACTGTGACTGAAATATGCAAGTGGAAAGGGTATTATCATACAGCGTGATTTTGGATTTTAGTTCTCTTATTCTATGCTATAGTTGTGCAGTTAAAAAAGAAAAAGCTATTTTTGGTTTAAAGCATGACTAAAACGTGTTATTAATTATTTTCTTTTCCACTGTTTTAATTTAATCTGTTAAATCCCATAAGTGAAAAGAATTTGGCTTGGCAGAACAGTAACTTTGGGTCACTTATGTGACCACAGAATCAAAGCCCTTTTTGAAAATATAAATCCCTTAAAATGTTTTAAGTGCCAGATATACATTATAGTTCATGAAAATTCCATGTGCTGTTTTCCTTTCAAATATGTAGTAATGATTTTCTAAAGTGTCTTATAAAATGTTATGCAACTTCTCTTTTCCTCCTTTGAGAAACAGAAGAAATTTACAGCCTAGAGAATACAATTCTCTGCTGGGAATTTCTGATCTTGCCCTCCTTCCTTGCAGCTCATTCTCCTTGACTGGTAACCCTGAACTGCAGGCTACCTCAAGGTGACAGAGTTCCAGTGTTGTAGGCTTGAAGGAATGCACCACCTCTACTGATGGCATCTGGGAGAAAATGTTAACCATCACTTCATATCTTGTAGCTGAATCTGGAGGATCCTAGCTGCCCAGGCCTGGGACCTTCTGGATATGCTGTGCCCTGGGTTTCCTTTAAGGACACCCAAACGTCTAGTCCAGAGGGCACAGTGGGTTCACTCCAGCTTCTGGAGTACACATACTCACAGAAGATCTAGTGACTGAAGGAGTCTAATATTCCTTTATGGGGATGCACCATAAGGGAATATAGACATGTGTGTGACTGAGAGTATCTCAATCAATCCGTAATACAGAAGTATCAATCATCCTTTACTATTCCATTGAAAAAAGTTAATTTATGCACCTGTGACCATCCCATAATTATAGATACAAGGTTACATCAGAGCTCATATGTTAATGTAACAACCAATTAGAGAAAGGCAGGTAAATATTCTGCATTTTGGCAAAAAAATTTTTCTCTCTGTGTACAAAATTTAGATCCAGGAAACTGATACACATGGGCCAGTGGTTTAATGAGTACTGCTGATTTAGTACACGTGTCCCCTAACAACAAATAAATAAGTTTATTCCACTGAGATGTTAGAATCTCAATCCCAATCAGAATATAGGGTGACTTAAAAAAAAGGCAAAGTACAGCAGAGAATAGGACTTCTGACTATTGCAGTGGAACATGATTGCTCACAGAAATTGACATGCTTTTTTTTTGTGTTTTCCTTCCTTCCCACCTGCCTTTCTTTTTTCTTTCATTCTTCCCTTCCCTTCCCTTCCCTTCCCTTCCCTTCCCTTCCCTTCCCTTCCCTTCCCTTCCCTTCCCTTCCCTTCCCTTCCCTTCCCTTCCCTTCCCTTCCCTTCCCTTCCCTTCCCTTCCCTTCCCTTCCCTTCCCTTCCCTTCCCTTCCCTTCCCTTCCCTTCCCTTCCCTTCCCTTCCCTTCCCTTCCCTTCCCTTCCCTTCCCTTCCCTTCCCTTCCCTCCCCACCCCTCCCTTCACCCTCCCCCTTTCCCCTTGCCCTTCCCTTTCCCCTTCCCTTTCCCCTTCCATTTCCCCTTCCCCTTCCCCTTCTCCTTCCTCTTTCTCTCTCTCTTTCTCTCTCTCTCTTTCTGTCGTGTGTCCCCCCCCCCCCCCCCCCCCATTCTCTTTCTCACTGTCTTTCTCTCTTTTTCTCTCTCTCTTCCTTTTTCTCTTCCTCTCTTCCCTTCTTGTTTGGCCATAATAAGCAGTGTTCAGTGACTATTTATTATTTTGCACTGCTGATGAATCTAGCTGGAAAAAGGAGAGCTTTTGGGCTGGGCCATACAGCAGCTTCCAAACATAAGTTGTAGTAACCAATGTATCTATTTTTCAGTTCTTCTGGGAATCACAGAGTCAGAAAGATTTGTCACACACATCAGTCCTGCTGGGAAGAAAAAATGACAGTGTTAAAAAAAAAAAGCAACTGAGTCTGAGCTGTGATACTTAGCTTAGAAGAAACAGTAAGTAGTATTCGCCAAATTACTATCATTTTAAATCAAAATGTGGAAACATGCAGAGGAAAAGAATCAAATGAACACAAATGGAAATGAATGAACATATCATTTTACAGAAGACTGGTGATGTGAGAGGAGTGCTAGTACTTTAGGGGGCACACAGAATCTCTTTTATTTCTGTTGAGGGTGTAGTGATGGCTGCTAAATCTCAGCATATGCTGGCACGATCCATTGAGCTCAATTTTTTGCTACTGGGTACGCACTGATGTAGCTTATCTGCTTTCCAACTTTGAGGACTGAGGAATTCTTATTTCTCTTTTTTTTTTTCTTTTTTTTTTTTTTTTTTTTTTTTTTAATAGCATACCAGGTATTCCAATAGCTTTCTTTCACTTTTCCTTAATGATGAGAGCTTTCATTTCTGCCAAGCAATTTGTGATATCATTTGTAAGACTGGATGTTGGCCAGAATGTGCTATACTACTGACTCATCTCAAGAACACCAATAGTACATGGTTTCTTTTCAGTTAATGTCAGCTTTGTGCAGGATGCCACCTCCCAGTCTAGGAGCCAAAACTTCAGGTATCTGATGTAGGAAGGAGAATCACATAATACACAGGCAAGCAGTATTTGATATAGTTATAAAAATTACCATGATTTTGCTCTCTCAAAATAGAAATCTGCTCATCACTTGTGGGAACTTTTATTTGTTGTTACAAAGTCTGATCTTCACAGGGTGACAGAGCACACAGTGTATGTGAAAGTGTCTCAGAAAGCACATTTTGTTGAAAAAGATTTGAATTCTCATAAGGGATTTCCAAAGATTTGAAGGGGAATGAGGTACAGAGAAGGAGAAAACATTTAACAGAGAATCAGAAATTGTACTCTTTTCTCAGACTTAGATGTGTGTTAACACAGAAGTAACAAAAACTTTATGGAAGTTTAGCTGAAAGTAATGTCACCTATTTATTTCCGTGGAAATGACAGCAGATACAAAGAACACAGTAACACTGTCTGATAGAACAAATTCTCAGCTACAAAACACTATTTGTTTTTCAGCATAGTCACCACCATTAGCTGCGCACTGTCATCAGCAGCGAACAAGAGCTGCATACTGGGCTCATAAACATTTCCAATTGTGACCGCTGACACTGTTGCCATAGCTAAAATGCAACACCCACCTCACTGTGCTCACATCCATTGTTAAGTCCCCATAAATATTCAGCAAGCATCAGTGAATGGGTTCCATTTCTTTCTGCGTGCTTAGTTTCATACACCCTTCCATGTCAGAGACCATTTGTCAGACTACCCCTCTGCTTCCATCTATCACATGGTGACAAAATGTAATGGAATATTGATGGGAAGGTTCAACCTCCACTGCTATACCACCAGCATCTGCCTCTGATGTTGTGGGCCAGCTTAACAAAGTCAGAGAAGTCACTTTTGGAGAAACCCTTGTAGAAATAGCGTCTATCAATCCATCTGAAATTTGTATGAGAACCTCAGTGTCTTCAGTAAATTTTGTATCTGATTCTGAGTGACTCAAGTTCAATTCTAATCCTACAAAGTTGGCTGAAAATTTTCTTATGTCAATGTAGTCAGAATTTCTGTGATAAAGTGTAGAGATGTCAATTCTGTGGCTTTATATCCTGCAAAGCACAGCACTCATTTATCTCCTGGGAGAAGTTATGGTAAAGTGTTTGTTTGTAGGTAGACATTTAGTTCATGGGACCATTGGAAATGTCCAAATAATTTTTGTCAGGACAGTATCTCTGATAAAAGCAATTTTATTCGCAATTGTAATGGTGGGCATCCTGCAAGCAGGAGCACCTATGAACACAACATGAGAGTCTTCACACCATTTTAACCTTTATCCATCCCCTGCCCTGTTTCCCCATTGGCTGGGTACTCCAGGTTCACAGTCTCGTCAAAGTTTACATTTGTTAATTCATGTGTTATTTGGTGTCAGTCAGCAGCCATCCTCTTGTTTCCAAGATGTCTCAGTGCTCTCCTTGTCATATTGATACAGTGATTTTCTTCAGAGTCTTCATTAAACAAAGAACATTGGGGGGTGGGGGGGAGAGACATCCTTCTGATGTCTCTTCAGCTGCTTCCTCCAGAAGGCCATGACTTGTTATCTTGTTTGATCAGTCTCATGCAGGATATTCTCCCAGTGTGTGTGACAAAATACATATATACACCTGTATACAGAGTATGCGTTCCTGGCAAGGTTCGTCTAGAGGATAAGTGATGTAAACTATCAGAGATCTTCCCCAAGTTAAGTAGAAAGACTCCCAAAAAGAACTGACAGCAGAGATCATGAAATAAAAAAAAATATTATCCAATTCTACTGCAGAAACAACATTTGATTCCCACAGGACAAAATGACGCTTTTAGAAAATAATTATATTTGCAAAGAGGAGCAAACTTTAAAGAAAAGCAGCCCATGATTCTGAGTACAGCAAAGGAACTCATTCTAGGTATCTCACCTGTCCCTGAACTTAACTTCACTGCTTTGGTAAATAACTTGGCACCATAGTCTGGTGTGTTGATGCCCATTCTGAATGTGAGAGCTGGGACCTCTGGGTCTCTGGATACACTTAACAACTCTTATTATCCCTGTGACACTTTCTCACAGTACTTCTTGAATAGGCCCTACTGGCGTCACTTTTGTAACCCTGAGTTCAGCAGCATGATTGAAAGTCACGAACATGAGCCCTCAGGACTGCCTCGAACTCACTGCCTTAGGCAACTGCCATGTTTCTGGGGATAATTCTCACGGTATTTCTTCAGCTTCACAGAAAATATAACCAAAAGGCTAACATTTCCTCATATTTTTCCAATACAGGTGTCTCACTAAGATCCCAGAACACCCCTCTAGAATGAGGTAACATGCACCTAGGGTCTTATAGGTGAAGAATGATTTGCAAAGTCTAGGATTACTCCACGGCATGCATTTCACGTCTATCCTTGCTTGCACGTCTTTAAATGGCATATAGCCAGCCCCTCGTTTCAGATATCTTGCAATAAATTTGTTCCTAGTTTCAGATACAGGCTTGTTCAAGAAACCGCCTTCATTTTGAGGGTAAAGTAAAAAGTCTTCTGACAAGATCATCATCATACAGAAGGTCTCTCTTTTACTTGCATGTCTAGGAAACCATTTTCAAAACAGTGCTAGTATTCTCTGATGACAACTGCCATAAAAAAAACATAATTAAAACAGGTAGCACATCATTTTTGTACTTTTTAGTGTTTATAGCGTAATTTAGTTCAGCAAATATAGTTTGTAATGTTGTCTGATATCCTGTTTCAGTAAAATAATATATTTTTATTAAGTGAAAATTTTCACCTTGGGATGAGATAGATTCACACCTCTCTTCCTTCAGTTAGAAGTCACTGCTTCTCCTTGAGTTAGGGAGATTAACATGGAATGAAAGTAGGATAATTCATTGCTAAATCAGGCTTTTTGTCTCACTGTATCTTCTGTGATGAGCAGAGTTTAGCGCCATTATTGCTAGACAAAGAGGTACTGGCGCCGTCAATAAAGATGACTGTGAAGGCTCAACACAGCCAGACTTAATGCCAGCGCCGCGGGCACCCATTAAGAACCTTCCAGCAGTAACCTTTTGCTTGCAGCTGGTATACTACTCTTGTTGTTTTGTTTACATTAAAGCAAGGGTCAAAAAAACTGCTGTATTTCAGCAATTACTTTGCATTTCTCAATGTTGTCACTCACACTCTGCAGTCAAATTACATGCAAAACCTCAAAAGAATCGACCATCTTGTGTTGAGATTCGGCTTAAATGTCAAATGATCAATTATCTGCCAGCAGCAGCCCATTGAGCAATTTTCCAGCCAGGTACACCCAGTTTCACAATTTCTGAAATCCAACAGAGTCAATGCACACCAAAAAAGTAAAAGGATAAGAGATGCTCTGGGACATAAAATTTTGTCTGTTCTACAGGGAAGGCATTCAAGAAATGGCACAGGGAATGCAGTAGATATGAATTTACCCATGATTTTTTCCCCTATTATTCTGGAGAGAAATGAAAGTTTTAATTGCAGGAGAATTCTCATAGTTGCAGGGTTTAATAAAATGTCAAACATCTCAGCTTTTGGTCAGACCCAACACTGTATTAATGTGTCAAAGAAATGATTTGAAAAAGAAGTGATGGGTCTCACAGGCTTGGAAATCAGGACATTGGACATCATGACTTCAGGAGACAGGAGGGTTAGAGCATGCAGGTGGAAGTCCATTCCCTGTAGTAGAGTTT